TTGGATGGAGACCTTCAGGGCGCAAGTCCAGCGCTAGGTGCCCGGCTTCCCCAAGGCATCTCCTGGGGCCAGCCTGGCCAGACCACAGGCAAGAGGAAGTGAACCATCTAAGTGGCAGAAACACAACTCAAACTGACTTAGGTTAAAGTTGGCCCACACATCCCTTAAGTTCAGACAGCAGACTTGCTTTGTGCACAACCGGATCCAGGAGCTCAAACACTATCAGGATGTCTCCTCCTTGACTCCATCACCCTATTCTGTCTTCTGTGTGAGCGCCAGTCTCAGGGAGGCTCAAGTCCCCATGGCGGCTTCCATGCTACCTCACGCTCCCACAGAAAAGAGAAAGGGCCCCTTCCCCAGAGTTCCGGTCAAACCCCCAGAACTGAGTCTCATTGGCTGTAATTGAGTCACATGACCTCTCCAAAGCAATCACTGTGGCCAGGGTTTGCAAGGCTCTGATTGGCGGAACGGAGTCACATGCCCACCTCTGGGCTACCCGCTGGAGTCCCGCTCTGCAGACAGGGAGGGGAGGGTCCTCAAGCCGCACAGAGTTGATGTTGCCAGAGAAGGGAGAATGTTGCTGGGGCAGCAAAATAAATATGCACTGCAGATTGCAAACCTCTCTTCAGGTCAGATGACAAGAGCAATGTTACAGTGAGGCCAATGTTACAGTGAGGCCAAACAAACGTCAATTCTGTCAGACAAATAGAGTGATAGGACCTGGAAGGATTCCCAGAGGGCAATGGGGCATTAGTCAGCCATGTGCCCAAAACCTTGTTTTATCGGGCCCATATCAGGGTGTCTCCAGCACTAAAATAAGGGAGGCCCCCAACACTTAGTAAGCTAGAAAAATAATACTCGAATGCAATATTCTAAAAACCAAAATTAATGCAAAAAATCCACGACAAAATTAGGGGCTTAGATGAAAGTTTGCCATGATCATTTTTCATTCTGGAAATTCCTAAGCATAAGTTTACTGATGAATCATGCACTACAGCAATAGCACAGTCTTCATTCATTCGACAAATGTTTAATGAGTATTTATTATAAATCTGGCACCATGAGAGAAATACAGTTGATCTGGTTCCTACCCCTGGGGAGTTCATAATCTGTAATCTGAATGGCAAGACCCACTGGTATACATCACCTCTATATATTGTGATTCATGTTTTAATGAAGGCCCAAAAACTTGCTGTGGGAGCCCAAGAAAAGCATTTAAATTTTTTTTTTTTTTTTTTTTTTTTTTTTAATTCATGAGAGACAGAGCGAGAGAGAAAGGCAGAGGGAGAAGCAGGCTCCCAAGGAGCAGGGAGCCCGATGCGGGACTCGATCCCAGGACCCTGAGATCATGACCTGAGCCGAAGGCAGACGCTTAACCATCTGAGCCACCCAGGCGCCCTAAGAAAAGCATTTAAAAAACGTTTTTATAAAATAAAATAAGTCCTGGGGATATATCGTACAGCATGGTGACTGTAGTTACAGTACTGTATGTTTGAAAGTTGCTAAGAAAGTTAAAAGTTCTCATCACAAGAAAAAAAATTGTAACTGTGTTGGTGATGAATGGTAATTAGACTTATTGTGGTGATCATTTTGCAATATATGCATAGATCAAATTATTGGTTGTACACCTGAAACCAATATAATGTTATCTGTCAATTACATCTCAATGAAGAATCTTTTTATTATGAAAATGTTGAAGCATACAGAAAAGTAGAAAGGACTGTAAACTGAATACCTACATATAGATCACACAGATTCAACAATTGTAAACATTTTACCATATTTACTTCATCTCACTATATGTTAAATTTGTGGCTAAAACATTGGAAAGTTAATTACAGATATTCCAGCACTTGAGCCCTAAACGCTTCAGCATGCATTTCCCACCCCCCAAAAATAAGAGTTCTCCTCCATAACCACAATACACTTACCTCAACTCACAAAATTAACAATCATTTCCTACATCATCTGATACCCAGTTCATAGATTTCCCCCATTGTCCAAAAACATGGTCTCAATAGCTTAAAAAAAAAAAAAAGAACCAAGATACAATCAAGAATCATATCTTATATTTAGTTGTTAAGACTCTTTGATCTCTTGGGGCGCCTGGGTGGCTCAGTTGGTTAAGCGACTGCCTTCGGCTCAGGTCATGATCCTGGAGTCCCTGGATCGAGTCCCGCATAGGGCTCCCTGCTCGGCAGGGAGCCTGCTTCTGCCTCTGACCCTCCCCCCTCTCATGTGCTCTCTCTCTCTCATTCTCTCTGTCTCAAATAAATTAAAAAAAAAAAAAAATCTTAAAAAAAAAAAAAGACTCTTCAATCTCTTTAAATCTAGAAACTCCTCTCCCATTGCTTTTGCTTTTGTTTTGTTTTCAGGACATTGACTTTTAAGAGATCATGCCTGTTGTCTTATAAACTGTCCCACCTTCTGGATTTGTCTGGCTGCTTTCCTGGGTGTTATTCCGTGTGTTCCTCTACCCCTGAAATTCCTATAAACTGAAGCTAGCTTTAAAGACCTGATTAGATTTAGGCTCAACATTTTTGGCAAAAGCCAAAACAGATGGAGCTGTGGAGTCTACTGCATCCTATTAGAAGGCACAGAAAGCTGGTTGTCCCATCATTGGCAATGCTGTGTGGTCCCTGGGTTAAGGTGGTAACAGACAGAGGAGAAAGGAACTGGGAAGGATGGTAAAGTCTTCACAGTGACATTTGGATAGGGCTTTAAAGAGTGTGTAGGAGCCTATTGGGTGGAGAAAAAGGAAGAGGAAGGGTTTTCCAGGCATAGATGGAGACACAGTGTTGGGAAAGAGCATGACCAGCTTTAGGAAGTCGGAGGTGGTAGCTGAATGTGGTTGAGAATTGTTATAATGACACCAAGCACTTAAGGCGAGTTTATTGTGTTCCAGGAACTATGCTAAGTGACTCATTTAATTCTTCACACAGTCCTATGGAATGGGTGCTACCACCCCCATTTTAAGGGTGTGGAGTCAAGGTTGAGTGGTATGTGGTAACTTGTCAAAGGTTACATAGCTAGAAACAGGCAGACTCAGGATTTGAATCTGGTTGCCTGACTGCTGAGCCTCTGCGTTTAAGAATCACCAAGCTCGGGGCGCCTGGGTGGCTCAGTCGCTAAGCATCTGCCTTCGGCTCAGGTCATGATCCCAGGGTCCTGGGATCGAGTCCCACATCGGGCTCCCTGCTCAGCAGGAAGCCTGCTTCTCCCTCTCCCACTCCCCCTGCTTGTGTTCCTGCTCTCGCTATATCTCTCTCTGTCAAATAAATAAATAAAATCTTTAAAAAAAAAAAAAAGAATCACCAAGCTCTATGTTAAGGTGACAGGGCAAAGGAGTTGGGGAGGCAGGTTGGGGGCAGGTGGAGACAGGCCTTCTCAGTCATTCTGAGTTTGGACGTTACTCCAGCGGCAGTGGGGAGCAAGTGAAGGTTTCCTGGTCTGGGCGGCAGGGCTGCCTGGGAACGTGCACCAGGGAACTCAGGCCTGTGAAGGATGAGTGGACAGCCACTGGGGTGAGCTCTTAGGGGGCAAGCCAGGCATTCCTTCAGGCCAGCAGGACCTGGCAAGCAGAGATGGAGGGAGGAATTCAAGTGCTTCCCAGGCTTGTGAGCTGACCCTTACTCCCCCAGGCATGGGGGTGGGGGAAGGATTTAGGGGCGGGGTGGGCTGGGAGCAGGGCAGACACCGGGTTGGCCCCGCACTCTGGGCCCCCAGAGCCCTGCAGGCCGCTGGGGATCCACCGCATCATCCCAGAGACCCAGCAACCTGTGGGCCACATCCCAGTGAGACGTGAGCAGCAAGACCGGCCGGAAGGACCAGCCTTAACCTCCAAGAACCAGAGAGGGGAAGCGACTGGCCCAAGATCACACAGTCAGATCTCGGCAGAGACAGGACTAGTTGTGTCGTGTCTCTTAATTCCAAATCTGCTACTCTTTAAGGATGGAGTCTATTTCAAAATCAAAGAGGGACCAAGACACAACCGCTTTGGACTAGCCACCGGGTTGCCCAATACTCTGGGGAATACTTCGTTTTTTAATCTATATTTTCCCACTTTGGGAATCCTCTCTGAGGGATAGGGTATCCTCCCCGGTTGGTTCTTGTCGCACAGCCTCTCAGCCATTGGGTTATCCCCTATCCTCACCCCCCACCCCAGTCTGGGGTGGAGAGTCCCCGCTTCCTGGGCCCTTGCAGTCCATCCTTCAGCCTAGGCAGGGAAGGTGCACAGATGGAGACAGGAACTGCTTTCAGGCCAAGCTGCCTGGTTCAAATCTCTGCCCTCACTCACCAGCTCTGCAGCCTTGAGCTGGTCACATCCCCTTTCTGTGCTTCTGTTTTTTCATTTTTATTTATTTATTTTTTAAAGTTTTTATTTATTTATTTGACAGAAAGAGAGATAGGGAGAGCAGGAACAGAAGCAGGGGGAGTGGGAGAGGGAGAAGCAGGCTCCCCGCTGAGCAGGGAGCCCGATGCAGGGCTCAATCCCAGGACCCTGGGATCATGACCTGAGCTGAAGGCAGATGCTTAACAACTGAACCACCCAGGCGCCCCTGTTTTTTCATTTTTAAATTGGTGAAAATAACAGTGCTTCATAGGGTTCGGGATGAGGATTAAATAACATAAGTAGTATTTAAGGACCTAGTAAGGCACTTGCCACATGATAAAGGCTGGTTATTATTATTAACCTGGGAGTCAGGAGGCTTGGGTGTCTGCCACTAATTTACCTATGAATTGGACAAACCTTCCAGATCTGGAATAAAACCTGCCTCCTTCACAAAGTGCACCCAGATTAACTGCACTCAATTTAAAGCCTTCCTTGATTTCCAGTATTTAAAGCACAGCTTATGTAATCTAAACTAAGATTGGGGTGGGGAAGGGCATCCTGTGTCCCCCCCCACCCCGCCCCACAGCACTAACTTAGACTCAGAAGGCCTGGGGCTTGCAGTTCAGGCACACCGCCACCCCCACCGCTCCCCGCCCCAGCTACTCACTTGGGTAAATCACTTCATCTCTGTGATTCAGTATCCTCTGTCAAATGGGGGTAATAATCCCTCTTTTATCTGTTTTGAAAGATGAAAAATGCAGATTCCTCACTACTTTGAGAATGGAAGGAAACAAACATACGAAGTGTTTTTTCAAAGCATATTTAATAACCTGGAAAAGTGATGCCAACATATAACGTTTACTTCCCTATTGTGAATTTCTTGTTTAAGGATTTTGCAGAAAGATGCATTAATATATTCTCATGGTAACACATTCATGGTATAATGTTCATCAGAAAAGGGCAGTCAATTGTATATGAAATATGACCCTTACTTCATTTTTAAGGAGTATAAATACACTGAAAACAAAAATAAATAAAGGTAAGGAAATCCACCAACGTGTTACCTCTGGGTGGTAGGATTACTGATAACTATTGTCTTCCTCTCTATTTTTCTCTATTTCCCTTTTTCTAACAAGTATACTATTTTTATAAACAGAAGACAATGACACTGATTTTTAAAGAAAAATAATGTGTTTGAAAATATTCAAGGCTAAGCCGAAGCAAGTTAGAGGTCACCTGTGTATGAGTAATCAGAAACCTTTAAGATGAAAATTCTGCCTTTAGGGAGCACCCTGTCCCCTAGCCCTGGGTAAGTCCATGTTTTATTTTCTTTGAAAGCCCCACGCAGAGCTCCCCACTCCTTCGGCTTCCAGAATTTCCCTAGCTTCCTTGGCCCAGAGTTCCTGCTTCTGAAGTCAGGCTTGGCCAGGGAAGCTGTGGGCTGTGCCCTGGGCAGCTGGAGAAGACCCCCAAATCCCTGCAGTTACCAGCTTACTACTTAGTGAGCTGAGGAGGCCTGTTATTTACCAGTCTAAAAAAACCCACTGGGGCACTGGTGCTCCCTCACTCTGGGTTATTATGCCTCTTCTGCATGTTCTTTACAGGCCTCGAGGACCTTCTTGGGAGTCCCCCACAGCTTTACCATGATTTACAATAAAGGTTTGCAGCTCACAATCCTTCAGTGGCTCCTCATTTCCTTCAGGGTGGGTATCTGCCAATTTCCTTAGTCTGGCATTTAAGTGCCTGTACCTTCTGAACCAACTTCTCTCGCATCTCCCATGGGTGCATCAAATGGTCTGCTAGCCAGCTGCACAGCAGGCCAGGAAGGAACAGCAAGGAGCAAGGAGAGCCGGGTGTACGAACACAGCTGGGAAAGTAGTCTGAGCAAGCACAGACGTTCTAAAGGGCCTGTCACTTCTCAGGGCCAGGCAATTATTCCTTGGTGGTATCTTCCAATTTCTTTTAGAGAAAATCCGGAACTCTGGATCTTTATGTGAAATCTCCTGATTTTTTTTTTTTTTAATATTGGCAGCTAATTCACAAGACACATTTGGCCAGTCGGCTGATTGTAATTTGTGACTTCTCATAGGAACACATTGAACTTTTCTCCCTCTGTACCTTTGCTTTTGCTCTTTCCACTGCCAAGAACACCCTCCCACTCATCTGGGTCTGGTGAACTCCACCTATTCTGTCAGACCCAGCTGAACACCACCTCTTCCGCGAGCATCCCTGGATGACCTTGGCTGGAAGTGACCTCTCCCTCCTTGGGGCTGCACCAGGCTCCATGCCTGCCCATCTCATGCCACAGCTAATTTCAATGAGTCCCATCTCCCCTGGTAGACAGTGAGCTCCTGGAATATTCAACAAGTATTTAAGAAGGACCTGCTTTGTTGCAGGCATCAAGCTAAGAATGCGGCCTAGAACAAGATGGATAGACTTTGCCTTGATGGAATAGAGAGTCTACTGCAGGGGACAGAGCTTAAATAAATCATTCCCAAGATACCTAATTCCAATTGCGATGAGTTTTATGGAGTTAAGAAAGTTTATAAAAGGAGCTTAATCCAGGCAGGAGGATTAAGCAGGTCACAAGGCAGCTTGGGGGAAGCATTAGCCCTCCGGGCTGCCACATAAGGTTGCACAGTCTGTATACCGCACAAAGGTAACCAGCTGAGAAGGCAGATGAGAGCTGAAGCCCAGTTCCTGCTTGCTTGCCCAAGCTGTGCCCTTTTCTATTTTGCAGAAAGGCAGGGGCAGTGTTTAGTTTCTCTGACCACCCCCCCACAATCTCCCTCTCAAAAGCTGCTCTAAATGTAGGCTCTAAGTAAGAATGGTGACCTCCCTATATATACACGCAGCCTCAAGAGATGTCCCCGCTTTCCCTTTCTACCAGAATATACTCCCTAAATCCTTACTTGAGAGATTCTGGGGATCAAGGTGGGCATCTCTGAGAAAGTGATATAGGAGCTAGAGACTGAAGGATAAGGGGCCAGGCAGATAGAAGTATGAAGAACAACAGCATGTACGAGGCCTCTGAGGAGAGAAAGTACCATGGCTGAAGGACCCGTAAGGGGCTAGCGCGGCTGAAGCGTGGACAAAATGGGGAAGAGCAGCAAGGGGTGGGCCGGGTAGTGACCATGCCATGCAAGGCCTGGAAGGCCATATTAGGGGGTTTGATTCTTATCCTGAAATGTCTTCTATATCCCCCTCCCTAACCAGGTTGCTGATGGGTGTCACTGCTTATGGGCAGGCCCACAGAGCACACGGTAACAGAAACTACCTTTACAGAGCACCCACCACAAGCCACACACTGTGCTGGGGCCACACATCTAGTTCATTCTTCCTTTCCCATCCTCCTAAGGGAGTAAGTATCCTTTGATTCCAACTGAACAGATGAGAAAATTGAGGCACACAGAAGATGAGTGGCCTGCCCAATGTTACCTGGCTACTCAGGGGTGGGCAGGGACTCACGCCCAGGTCTGTGGGATTCTGAGCCCCTCCTTTTGGTTGCCATGTAACAATGACCCTTAGGAATGAACTAGAAGGCACAAGGAGTCCAGAGCCTTGCCACTCAGAGTGGGGTCTGGGGGCCTGCGGTATTGGTATCACCTGGAAACTTGTCAGAAATACAGGCTTTCAAGTTCCATCCCAGTCCTACTGACTTCGAATCTGCACTTTACCAGACTCATCATGTACACATCACAGGCTGAGAAGCACCAGAGAATAATCCAAGCAATAACTGCTTTTGCAACCCCTTACACAACAGTCTTGTGTCTCACGGGCCAAGTCTCCAGGGACTTGAAAACAGCTTATTCTAACCAAATTTGCCAGAATTGTTAGCTCCTCCATCCATCCACCTGCCCCAGTTTTGCCTTCTGTTGTGACCCCAAGAGAAAGACCCAGAATGTACCATCAACTCCAGGGAGGCGCTGGAGGCGCTCTGCTTCTGCTCAATTTCTTAGTATGATCTGCTCTCATCCAGGAATAAATGTAAAGCTATTTGACCCTTCTCCTGGTTAATTACTGCTCCAAGTCATCTCCCATTTGGGGCGCACTCTGACCCCCAGATCATGTTCTGGGACCCACCTTTCTCAAGACAATTCCCTTTCTTAGTCCGCATACCAAAGGAGGCAAGATGGTTTGCTGGAAAAGATGAGTGGGTGAGAAAAGGCTGGCTTCTCTTTCAGCGTTAAGGCCACATGTTCTGTGACTCTAGGAAACTCCCACCTCCACTTCCCCACTGACATCTGAGAAATGGGTACGATGGACAGGACTAGTAATCACTAGATCAAGGGCTTGGCAGGTAGCCTCAAGGAAGTTCAGTGGCCTAGGTGAAAAAGGAAGGTGTCGTGGGGACTGTGGCGAAAGAGAAAGATGTACTGCCCTAAAAAAGGCGGCCGCACTCAGCATTAGGCTATTGTTGTCCTGGGAAATATGGGTCCGGTGTGGCCATGTTATTCTAATTTTTCAAGGGTTGGGAATCTGATGTTCCCCCTACGGAATATCATATGGTGTTTAAATACCGGTATCTGCTTAAACTTAAACAACACTCCGTGGGTCAAACACAAACCAGGTGCAGGGAAGATCTGCCCGTGGGCCGCCAGCTGCCTGGCCTGGATGCCATCCTAATGGTGTAAGTTTATGACTCCATCCTACGTGCCGCTCTTTCAGAATGCCGAAAAGCGGCCGCTGCAAGGGCGGCGGAATCTGCGCCCGCCGGGGCCGCCCGACCCTCCCCGCCGCGGCCCGGGCGCCCATCGGTGCCCCCTCCCAGGCCTCTGCCGCAGAGGGCCGTGCGCAGGCACGCAGCCCCGTCCGTGGTGGCGGCGACGGGCGCACGTCGCTTTCTTCGCACCCTCCCTACCTGCTCGCCCGCCGTGCCCGCCGCGCCGCAGCGGTGACTCAGCCTCTGGCGTCCCGGGCGCGGCGGGGGGAGGGGCGAGGGCGGGGAGGGGAGGGGAGGGAGGAGGAAGGAGGAAAGACGCGAAAGGGAGGGGGCCGAGAAGTGGCCGCGGAGGGAGGAGAGAAGAGGAGAGGGAGGGCTGGAGAGGAGGGAGGGCGGAGAGGAGGGGCCTGAGGGGGGGAGGGGTTCGGGAGGGAGGAGGAAGGAGGGGAGGGGCTCGGGGGAGGCCGAAGCCCCGCCCCCTGCCCCTGGGGACCTCCCGAGGTCAGGCTGGCTGGGTGCGGGAAGCCGGGTGGAGAAGAGCGGAGCGGCGCGGCTGAAGCGGAGAAGGGAGGGTCGTATGCTCCCCGCAGCTGATCCCCGCTCCCGGATGAGCGTGTGGACGCGCGCTTCCTAGCTACACCGACAGGCCCACCCTTCCCTTGTTGGACTAGCGGAAGGGAATGCACCTTTAGCCGTGGACTTTTAGTGAGCACCTCCCGGTGGGGGGCTTGGGTCCCGGGCGGAGACCGAGACGAAGGAGCCTGAGCCCTGCGTCCGGGGCAGGGGGGGGAGGGGGGGCTTGCGGGCGGGCTAGAGATAGCCCGCACCTCCTATCCTACAAGTGCAAGTTTGAGGGGAGAAATGATGTGCTGGTGCATTTTGCTGGGCTTACACAAATAGCTGTAACACAAGGTTGACTTTGGAAGGTGCCCCAAAGAAGTTTCCTTAGCAACTTTTTGATAATATAAATGAATCTATGAATGAACGAAATGTGCAATGGGAGCATATATGTGTGTATATGAGGGCACAGTTTTTTTTTTTTTAATGTCTTTTTGTACGTGTGTTCATATATGTTTGGGAGGATGTATAGGAGTGTGTGTGTATGTGTCTTGAATGATATGTCTATGTATGCTTATACATGTAAGCATATTGATAGCTGTGTATGAATTTGTGTGCCTATAATGTGTCTCTGTGGATATGCACAGGTGTTTATGTGCCTCAATGTTAAACGTGTGTGTACGTATGAGATCTACGAGCATGCCTGAGTTTGTATGTAAGTATGCATACGTACGTGAATTTGTAGGTTTGTGTATGTGACTACATGTCCTTGGGTATGTATTGCTTTTATGTGCCAATGTTATATATGTGTGTGTGTATGGGGGACTGCGTGTGTCTTGGTGAGATTGTGTTATGCGTGTGTGTGTGTGTGTGTGTGTAGGAGAATACATTTGTGAGCCGGTGACCAGTGCATGTGTGTGTCTGTATGTATAAGTGAGAACATATGTGTTTTTCAGAGTCTGAATGGATACAACTGTGTATGTGTCTTGATGTATCTCTGTAGTCATTCTGCTGATTCAGTCTGAGATAAGGACATGTGCTTCTTTCCAGTTTTATTGAAAAATAACATACATCATTGTCTGTTTCAGGTGTACAGCATGATTTACGTCTATTGTGAAATAATTACCACAATAGGTTCAGCCAACATCTATCTTCTTATATAGATACAAGATACAACAAAGAGAAAGAAGAAAAAAGGGGAAAAAATTCTCCTTGTGATGAGAACTCTTAGGATTTACTCTTAACAACTTTCCGACGTATCCTACAGGAGTGTTAGCCGTAGTCATCATGTTGTGCCCAACATCTCTAGTACTTACTTATTTCTCACTGGAAGTTTGTGTTTTCTGACCACCTTCCTCCATTTTCCCTTCCGCTCTCCCTCTGGGAACCACAAGTCTGATCTCTTTTTCTATCACTTGTTTTTTGTTTGTTTTTGTTTTTAGATTCCACATTTAAGTGAGATTCTACAGTACTTCTGTTTCTCTGACTTACTCCACTTAGCGTAAGGCCTACAAGATCCATCCATATTGTGGCAAATGATAGGATTTCCTTGTTTTTTTAGGGCCATGTGATTCTTAAGGGTTGGGCTGGTGGAGGTGCTTCTTGGAGGAAGAGGCCCTTGGTGGGGGGGGGGGGGTCCGTGGAAGGGGTAAAAAGCCCTGGTTGTGCTGGCCCAGGGACCATCCGGAGCAGTGGGGGGCTGGGCGAACAAGGTAAGTTAAAGCAAGACCTTGAACGCCAGCACCAGTCTTTGTCGCCTCCTCTGGCTTCCTGGGCCCTCTCAGGTGCTCGGTCTGTTTCTCTCGTGGCCTCGTCACGGTTCATCTTGCCCGTGCTGGTCAAGTGCCTGTTCCTGTTTTCACTGCTAGGAAGGGTGCCTCGGACTCCGGAGGCTGCATGCCTTCTCAACCGCCAGAGCAGGGGCTTGCCGCCTCAGCACTCTTAACATTGGAGGCCAGATAAGTCAGTGACATGGGGCTGCCCTGGGCACTGTAGGATGTTTGGCAGCCTCCTTGGTCTCTATACTGGATGCCAGTCACACTTCCCTCCCCAATTGTGACAACCAAAATGTCTCTAGACAGGTCCAAATGTCCCCTGGGGACAGAATCCTCCCCTGCTTGAGAACCACTGCGCTAGACTATCCTGCCTCCCTGGGGAAATGTTTCTTGAGGGGCTGCACCATGCCATCTCCACCTGGTCCGGTGGCTTCAGCTGTCCCCTCTTCTTCCACAGGGATCCTCACTTTCATTCCAGTAGCCCCTTGCTTCTGCCACAAACAGAAGGTTGACCAGCTGGGCCACCTTGCTCAGCAACTCAACCCCCCTGAACCCCAGCCACAGAAAGCTTGGCACCTGATACATCGACAGCTCTTATTCTTATCATTCAAGTCACAGGGGATCCCTGGGGTCAGAACGTGGAGAAAGAGGGCCCCAAGCCAGCCAACTCTCTCTGGCCCAGAGCTGTGGACGCTGCTGGTTCTGCGAGTTTGCTTTCCTGCTTCAGTGGGAATACAATGCTATAGTGCTGAGCCAAAGCTGGTCCCATTTGATGCTATCATAATTATGCTATTTTGTTTTTGCAAATAAAACAGCCTGACTTTCCCACCATCAGGGCCTGATTTTAATGTGCAGAGCTGCCTCGTAGCCAGAGCAGGTGCTCAGGAGGGGCAAGGTGGAGCCATGAGCAGGGCTCTCGACATGTCCAGGCCTGGGCAGGGTGTCCGCGCTGCTGGGCAGGCCCTGGGTGGCAGGTGGAGGAGAGAGCTTGTGCAGCTCTGCCACACAAGCAGGAGGCCTCAGGTTCCTGCTACAACAGCCGCAGAGGACCTCCACACCACCCCTGTCTCTGCCGCTCTGGAAGCTCCTTCTCCTGATGTGTGTTCCTTTGCCGCACCAGCTCTCCTTCTGCTCCTTCTATTCTCCCGCAGCCTGTGCGGTGTGCCTGTGTTTGCAGGGCCTCGTTCCCTTTCTTCTTGGGAGGCTGCAGAGCAAAGCAGTTAAAGGTGGGGGGTTCTGGCACCTTATCACCTGAGTCTGTGTGATCTCGGGCAAGGCCCTTCTCTCAGTGCCTCAGCTTCCTCATTGCTAAAGTGGGGATACTGAGAGGCACGGTCTGGCAGGACTAAATGAGATAGTGTGTGTAAAGGATGCAAGGCCTCTAGGGGCCCCTAATGACGAGCAGCTACCACTATTACCCATTATTCTTTAGGAACAAGGAAAGGCACATGAACACTTGTTAATTGCCAGGCCCTGTGCTCAGCCCTGAACAATTTTTTTTTTCTCATTTGATCCCTTCAACAGCTCTGTAAGGAAAGCGCTATTATTAGTCTCACAGCGGAGAAGAGGAAGTTCAGATGTGATGATGCTAAGTGACTTACTCAGGGTGACGGAGCTAAGAGGAGTCGGAACCCAAGTGTTGTCCCTGCAAAGCCTAATCACCCCGATCTTCTCTGCTGAAAGCAGATTTCACCATAGGAAGCGGGGCTCTTCTCCAACTGGGGTGGGCAGGGGAAATGTGGGAGACAGGGAGAAGGCGGTGGGGGGGGAGGAGGTCCCTGGGCAGAGGAGGGATTTGGCTTAAAAGGGATCAGGGCGTCTGGGTGGCTCAGCCAGTTGGGCATCCTACTCTTGATTTCAGCTCAGGTCATGATCTCAAGGTCATTGGATGGAGCCCCACATCGGGCTCCATGCTGGGTGTGGAGCCTGCTTAAGATTCTCTCTCCCTCTCCCTCTGCCGCTCGCACTCTCCTCTCTCTCTTAAGAAAAAAAGTTAAGGGGCGCCTGGGTGGCTCAGTCGGTTGGGCGTCCACCTTCAGCTCAGGTCATGATCCCGGGGTCCTGGGATCGAGTGCCGCGTCGGGCTCCCTTTTCAGTGGGGAGCCTGCTTCTCACTCTCCCTCTGCCTGCCTCTCTCTCTCTGTCAAATAAATAAAATCTTCAAAGAAAAAAAAGTTAAAAAAATAAAGGGATGAAGTTGCCCTTTTTCAGCTTTTGATGAAATCCCTAGCACAGTAGGCTGTGGTCTCATGACCTCCAAGAGGTGTTGCCAAGTTTTTATTAGTGCATTAAGTTTATTTTTATTCCGAGCCAGGGTATATATTGTCCCAGTGTTTTGTTTGAGTTGGGTTGTAGGAAAGGTACGGAAGGCATTCAGTCACAGGAACAGATGGAAGGCCCATTGTAGAGCTAATGCCAGAGAAAGATGGTGCTCTTATCAGGAGCTGTGAGAACGTGGCCAGGTGAGTGTATAAGAGAGGTTGGTCTGTGTGCAAGTGTTAGTTCTTCCAACACTTGGCCAAAGGGGACAAAGAGAGTCATGTGGTAACTGTCTTGTTTTCTTTCAAAGATATTCAAGGCATTGTTTTTCCTTGTACTGTGATTGTGTAGTTGTATTAGTTACTTATTGCTATGGAGCAAATAACCCTAAAGCGTAGTGGCTTAAAACAAATATTTATTATCTCGCAGTTCCTGTGGATCAGGAATTCGGGAGTGATTTAGCTGCATAGGGCTCTGGTGTGGAATCTCTCAGGAAGTACTAAGGTAGGTGTTAATGTAGGTCTTTTGTAAAAGCAAGTGGCATAACGCAACCTTTCCAAAAGCAAGGAACACCTATGTATGGACATGCCATAATTAGTTAACTGTTTCCCTTATCGTTGTACACTTACCTTCCAAGTTTTTCCTATTTACAATGAGGTTTC